CAAGATGAAAAAGGAATACAATAAGCACTATGTATAGAAACACAAACACTTTTCCGCAGGTAAGTAGGCACACGTTTGTGACTTCTGCAGTAACAAACCAGGATGGATAACTTCAAGTCATCGATGAGAAAACACTGGGACAGTAGCCTATACAAGGCGAAAGTAAGAAACTGAGGTAGTTAAGATATATTGAGACATTCATAACCTTGAGTTCCTGTTAGCGTCAACAAAGAGCCTCCGAGGAACTTATCGGCAAACAGTTATAACTCTCAGTCACTCTTCTTTCCTTTGAAGAACAAATCTTTCCTTCTCAATTTCTGCGAGAATAGTACTCGAGTGGTAAGTCATACACTATGGTGTGTTAAAGTACTGTACTGGCTAAATAACAGCTATTTGGTTAGATTGAATCCTGGATCAAATATTGTCCAATCACTTCACACCTACACTGAGATTATTATAGGTAGTTGATGTATATTAAAACATCCTATATAAATTAGTATTTTACTTTTGTGTGAGGAATTAATCAAGAAACTAACAGTATATCCTTTGCATTATCAAAAATATCTATCGGTTCGGTTCCTATCTCCGATTTAAGCCAGTAAACATTTAAAGTTCGAATTCAAGTTATGTGCCATGGTATACTTCACCTTGTGATATAACAAAGAAATAACAGACAAAACAAGTCATTCAAATGTTGGTTTGCAGGGATTTGATTTGACTTGATTGATTTCAGGACTTTATCATGGATTGACATCGGTTGGAGAACCATCGGTTAACCAGCAGGGACTACTGAACAACTGTCTCGCCCTTGTTTGGGACTTTTCACGGTACATATTCGCAGACGTGGTTCGAACCCAGGACCTTCTGGTTACAAGGCGAGCTCGCTGACCATTCAACCACTGGGACCCGATCCGATGGCGAGCCTATGAGTTCCAACTTCTGCCAACTTACGACATAGCGTAACCGCTAGACGATTTCATTGGCGAGTATTTGTCCTCAGATCCGATCGACTGTACCCTGCTGGTCACAACTTCCCACTACAACCCAGGTAACTACCTACTTGAATGCGTCCGATTGCTAGTAAGCATCATATTGATATTCAAGTGTTGGTGTGTTGGGGTTTGATTCAATTGGCTACAGGATTTCATCATGATCTGATATCAGTTAGAGTTCGCCTTGTAATTGGAAGGTCCTGGGTTCGAACCGCTAGGGCAGGTGCACACTGCTCAAGAATCATAAACTAGGAAGAAACAGCTGTCCGGTAATCTCATTTTTTCCTATGGCCCTCTAACCGATGTCAGCTCATGATGAAATCCTGTAACCAAAACAAGTCATTGTTTGACAGATAAAATCAAAGGTAAACTTTTACCATCCAGTAGTAATTGTGTCTACAATGTATGCATTAAAGAGGTATTTCACTGGTGAATTTAGTTTAAAGGATGCGAACTAATGCTGCTAAAAATTACCAGTTTAAGTGAATTCAGCTTGAAAATTTATTCAGGCTTAGGTGATGTTAAATGGGGGATTTCTGAAGGAGCCTTAACACGTTTAGTTTTACAAAGATGAAGAGACGGAGCAGCATTCTTTTTGAGCCTAAAACTAACACGGGTAATTCATTTCTTAATCCCAGTTTGTTGTGAGATATAAGCACAAATATAATTTACTCATTTCAAAATTTAATTAGTCCTGTGTATCACAAAGGTCATCAAAATTCGTTTAGAAGCGATAACTTTCAAGAATAACGGACTAACTGTTTTTGTAATCCAGTGGCTACTGCACGGGAAAATGAACTTGGTCTTGTCATAGTCGTGTTGCAGAGCTATAAATTCTTATCCAGGTTAAATTTCCTCCTTATTAATGGAATGAAGCTCAGTTATCTTCACATCATTAATTACAGATGTTTTAGCTATTGAACTGGATGAAATTACGACTTTTATTGAGTAATCATTCTTCCTGACTGGTTTATTGACAGGTATTTTTTTAGCTTCGTGTCATTTCAAAGAGAGCCATTTTAGTGTCGGTACAAGTTGGGTTCCACTTTACTAAGACCTAAAAGACTAGCGAACAAAATTAGCAGCTCAAAGTCTGGGAGAATGAAAATTACAAGGAACTTGAAGAGTAAAAAGTCAGAATTTACCCACCTTTTCTCACTTTGCCCAAATCTGAATGCAAAGCTGCCCAAGTTTTGAACCACATATCCCAGCTATGAAAATAATTCTCCGATCTCGAAAAATTGGTTGTTTTGGGACCTGGGATATGTGGTTCGAAACGGGAGCAGTTTTCCGTTCATATTTGGGCAAAGTGGGAAAAAGTGGACTGTTTTTGGTCCTAAAATGATTGAAGTGAGATTAAGTGGGCTATTTTTGAAAATAACATTGATAAAGTGGGGAAAACGTGGGTAAAGGGGTCGTTGAAAAGGTGGGTAAACTTGGAAAAAGTGGGATAGTACAGTTTTTTGAGACTTGGGCAAACGGGAAAAAGTGGCTGATATAGTTAGAGTAGGTAAATTATGTAACATTTACACCATCTTTTTCCAACCTATTAGCCGATCAAAATTACCCATTTAGCCCACGTTTCGCCCACATTGCACAGATGCATTCTCTGACTGGGATTTATTGCCGCCGATACATGGGTGTCACCAGATGGTTAAACCAAAAACCAAATTGACTTCATCTCAGTGGTGCTCAAGGAAGTGGAGGCGCAGCCTACTGGACACAAAAACAAGAAGAGGAGCAGACGTTGTCCCAGACCACTATCTCGTACAAGGGACAATCCAAATCAAATTAAAAGCTTTCACGGAAACAGGGGCTGCAGATAGACCATAAGCCAAGTTCAACACTCAAAAGCTGAAGGCCCAGGCTACAAAGGACATCTTCATTGCAAACATAAGGGAAAAAGCCGAGACACAAATCAACACCAGCGAAGAGGTTGGCGTCGAAAAGCACTGGGACAACTTGAAAACGATGTGGAGTCAAACCTGCATAGAAATTCTAGGCAGAAAAAAGAGACAGGACAAACAGTGGCTCACTACGGACACTTGGAAACTAATAGAAGAGAGAAGGACAGTGAAACAAAAGATTATCCAGTGCACTGACGAGCAACAAAGACAGGAGCTGAATGCAAGCTACAATACACTGAACAAAAGAGTGAAGAAGAGTGCCAGGGAAGACAAAAGGAAATACTATGAAACCATGGCAAACGAAGCAGAACAAGCTGCAGGCGAAGGAGACCTCGCCACACTCTACCAAACAACTAGGCACCTTTCGGGTAAAAGTTCGACACAGATTAAGCCCGTGAAGGATGACAATGGAAAGTCAATCACCAAAGAGGTGGAACAGAGAAAGCACTGGGCTGAACACTTCAAAAGACTTCTAAATCGTCCGCCACCTACAACACGTCCAACAATACCAACAACGGAAGCAGAACTACCAGTGAACATCGACCCCCGACGAAATCAGAAGTCCTGAATATATTATATATTTTTTATATTTGATAACAGCTTGATTCCACACCGTATTTTTGGTACAAGTATGGAATTTTCAGCGTGGATATCGGTAGCCCAAATTCGCAGGCCAACCATAGATATCAGGTGTGCGTCGGCGTCGGCTCGAACCTCGGACCATGCCATCAAGATGCTAAAAGCTGGGAAAGCACCAGGACCAGACTGAATCCCAGCAGAAGCTTTGAAAATAGACCCAGAGAAAACAGCGGACTTGATGACGCCACTGCTGGAGAAGGTGTGGAAAGAGGGCAAAGTACTCGTGGATTGGAAGAAAGGATACTTATTCAAACTTCTAAAGAAAGGAGACTTAAGTCAATGAAAAACTGGCGTGGAATTATGCTTCTATCCATTCCAAGCAAAATACTAAGTCGCACCATGCTGGAGAGAATCAAACAAGCCAATCTGGATGAAAAACTTCGTCCGGAACAGGCAGGATTCAGGAGAAACAAATCATGTATTGATCAAATCGCCACTCTACGGATCATCATTGAACAAAGCTTGGAATGGCAGTCACCTCTCCACCTCACTCAACTTCATCGACTTTGAAAATGCCTTCGATAGCGAAGCGTCGATCGAGAGGTCATTTGGCAACTATTTTGCTACTACGGGGTCCCATCGACAATTATACATCTCATCCAACAGTTATGCGACAATGCTGCATGCCAAGTAATCCACAACGGGAAACTTACGGAAGCCTTCGAAGTAAGGACGGGAGTGAGACAAGGCTGTCTACTATCACCAATGATTTTCCTGATTACAGTAGTTTAGATAATGCGACATACAGCGGGCAATGAGGAAACAGGCATAAAATGGACTCACACAAAAGACTTGGAGGATCTGGATTCCCCCGATGATATATCTCTGATTTCCCACAAACTGGAAGATATGCAAGTGGAAAGCAACAAGTTGGAGATAGAAGAAGCATCCAGAGAAGATAGAGCTTCAGGTGAACATAGATAAAACAGATGTGGTGATGAATATTCCTGGCTAACACCACCAACAGCAACAACAACAACAGACAACAATCAGCCAGCATAAATGGGAGGAACCTGAAAGAAACAACCTCCTTCACCTACCTACCTACCTACCTACCTACCTACTTACCTGGGAAGCATCGTTTCAACCACAGTCAGACGGAACTGACGAGGATATCAAAGCCAGAATCGGAAAAGCAAAACAAGCTTTCATTACTCTCAAGTCTGTGATCTGAATCTGAATCAGCTTACAAACAAAAATTAAATCAACATAATTAACGCAGAAGAAGACAGAGAGACCAACGATTATGCATACAGTGTTGAAGATTAATCTAATATTTGACCGGCAAGCTTTTATGAACTTAGTGATTTCTTAACACTCGACGATCACCGAGAGGCGAAAATGTCGTAGGTTAAAGCCTAAGAAATTCTGAAAGTAAAATCATATAAAAAGTTAAGAGGACGCTAAATAAGGTAAAATAGTCACAATACGCCTGTAGTATAACAAATAACTCAGTAATTACTTCATTTCCTGCATCCATTGCAAAACGCGCAGTTACAGAATCATTAGTCAAATTGACCTCATTTTCATTTCCATTATATATCTCATATGTCCAATGACTTTGCCACTTGTATCAATATGCATATTGATTTTCAGCACCCAATATTTCATCAGATTATAATGTAGGAAGAATCATCGCCTACTAGTTATAGGTATGTTTAGTGCTTCAGTATATCCAAAGAGGCGTTATTTTGTAGATGGTGTACGCAACAGATATATTATGGGCAACTGTCTAGTTCATTAACATCCATATTTCTTGGGAAAAGAAAAGCGGACATGATAAATTAAGGCGGAATAAACAAAACTGGGGAGGAAATTTGCAGCTGAATAGAGGAGGCGAAAGTTATTGACAGAACATAATGAAGTATCACGTGGGACGAGAGGCATATAGCTTAACCTTCATTTACTTCCTTTATGTACAAGTCAGCATTAAAAGTATGGCGCTCATTGTTCCGCTTTTCCTCTCTTTATCACTATCTGCTCAGGTAAGTTGTGAGGGTTTTAAATGTTTGGAAAAGACACCTATGGATACTGTAAGTCACTATGAGATATTCACTTTGCCATGTAATGGCCCACAATGTATCAATCTACAATAAGGGGAGAAGGGATATATTCGCAGCCTAATGGAAGCCCATTTGGTCTTGCGAAGTTGTTAGTTCCTTCTTTGCTTAAAGATAAAGCATGAAAACATACCGTCTGTGACTCCAAAAATTCCCGATTACGAGAATAACTTGCCATGAAAATGTTCATGATGGGTACACCTGAAACGAAATACAGCTGAAAATTTAAGGCTTTTTATAATCGAAGAATCATTGTCACGGTTGACTTCTGAACACTGTACACATTAACCACAGTTCCTCTTCTGTCTACAGAAAGAGATTAAGGCAACTGAAAATGCACTCGTGTTGAGGTCAAATTTGTTTTTTACCATAAGTACGGTTCCACTCAATTAAAAGAAAGAGAAAACTTTCTGCAGATTCATCCTGTTGACGAATTCCAGTGATTGTTGTTGTCGGTTGATTACCTTCAATAACTCTCACTTCCCGAGTTCACCTGAAGTTTTTTCTACTGTAATTATTTCGTCAACCTATCTGCTTTCGCCGGTAGATACGACATTTTGTGCGAAATGAGAAACAAGTCACCCGCGAAATGTAGATTTTTTATGCTGTTTTCTTCACCTCGACACAAACATGACTTTTCACTCTCCACGGCCTGTCTCATAATCAAGACCCCCAGGATGATCATCTTTGATAGCAGACAGCTATGCAAATATGTTATCTTTGCCCTAAAAGCTTCAGCCAACTTTCCATTGTGAGCCAATTGAAATGTGACTTGACAATATAGCTGTTGAAAGAGGATCGTAAAATTTTGCAGCACTGCACACTTAAGCTTTGAAACAGTTGCCAGATGACTTCAGAGTCGATTGTGTCGAGGATTTTTTTGAAGATGAGATACGGTGTTGATTGTAAATTTAACCTTCAGTCGATGATGATACTTGGTGTTGCAAGTCGGTCTGCGCTTGACGTGCCATTCATGCACCTATCCTGTTATATATCCTTTAGTCTATACATGGCAGGCGGTTAAATATTTTCTTACAACCGGTTCCCTTTATTAGTTTGCAGAAAGAACGAACATGTTTGCAGATAATACGAGCTCGTTTTATTTCGTGGATACTCATCAAGTGCATACATCCTAAACAAAATCAAATTATAAGTTTCAAAAAAGTATGTTCCAAAACTTTTTTGAAACTTATAATTTGATTTTGTTTAGGATGTATGCACTTGATGAGTATCCACGAAATGAAACGAGCTCGTATTATCTGCAAACATGTTCGTTCTTTCTCTCTTCAAGGTTAAATATTTTGTCTGAAGTAGATAAAAGCGAGTTTCCACGCCATTTCTTGCTTAGACTCAACTGGCATTTCGACTAGGTCTCCTTAATCACAGTTGGGAGATAGTAATAGACCCTCCACTCCTGGTATAGTGGCTGCGTGAACAGGTTCATTTGCGTCCCTACATCCGTTTTCATTGCTTGACTCTGATGGTTTTCCGTCCGTTTTTTAGTATACGGTCTTCATCTTATTTATTGTCATATCTACAAATGGTTCTGTGGTTGCTGGTGACATTTTCGGACGAGTTACAGATATTGATCAGTTTCGGGGTTCTCTGAATTGGTCAGCCTAGTATCATCTCCTTTCTAAAACTTTGATAATTCGGTTTTCTTTGAAATCTTTTAATTTAAATTGGTCTCTGTTTGGATAATGACATAGTTATTCATCAAAGCCTACTGAAATCTGCTCTGTCTGTGGTCATAAAAGCGTCATTTGTCTTTCCTGGCACTTTTCTTTACTCCCCTGATCAGTAATTCCTGGATTTTTCTGGGTGTCCCCTTCCATTGTTCAACTATTCTCTGGGTCATCCTTTACTTCCCCATCATTTCTTCCACCACCTGCTTCACGGCGTGCGTATGAGCCAGTAGTTTTTACTGCATTTCATTCTGCCTTAAGATGTCTATACGGCTTTCCATTCGCGTATGTTGAGGAAAGTTCTGGGCATTCCCACATTCAGGTTCCCGTTCTAATTTTGCGTGATATCTCTGGGTTTCAGCTGATGAATGATGTGACGATGGTCTTTTTGGCTTCATCTGTAGGTTTCTGCATATATAACTATAATCATACAGAAAAGCCTTCAGCCCTCTCCTAGCGCGGAAGGATCTGAAAAGACGTCATCTCGTACTTCAAATTGATGTCTTGAGAAAGTGCCAAGTGACTTGACGTAGAGATGCGTACTAGGATTTAAGTTGGACAGAGTTTAGCGATTACCCATTAAACTGCCTCCGAAAATTTTACTATCAGCGTGCAGAAAGAAAACATACAAACTACGAATTGGTTATGATAACATCTGGCTACTTATGAAAACCGGAGGAAACTGAATTAAGAACAACTTCACCTTCCGAACTTTCATATTTGAATTAGGGATTTTCATAACCACACGTGTAATCTAATGAAACATCAGTTCAAACGACAAAACACAGTCAAGATGGAAAATTTATGTTTCAGGTCTGGATTGCTCATGCATAAATAATTTTAAATTCTGCGTATAACTATGGCCATGTTTTAGAATGCTAGTAAAATGCCATGGAACTTGACAGATAGATTTGCCGTTTATCTCTTCAACAAAGCGACTGCGTTAACTGATACCAACCAAATCGAGTAGCGAAAGACAGTCTGCCTTCAGCCCACATTGTGGTAATAACTTCAAACTCGGGTCTCAGTGGTGAATATTTTCGACCGAAATTTGTGACCCTCAAAATCATCTCCTTTAGAAACGAAGGAAATTTAGACCTGGTCTTCACATCTGCCTGTCTCTGTGTGGACGTCATATCTGCTCGCTAAGGGCTAGGGTTACAGATACTAGCCTGTTTGACTGCCTGGTTATTTTTGGCATAAAAACAGAAGTTGAATTGAACCAGAAACAAATATTATTAGACATACTCAGAAGACCACTTTCACTGTTCCGCCTATTCAGACAATCAGAATCAGTGCTATTAACAAGTATCTCGACATGTTTACCAACATTGCACATGACAATTTACCCTTGCTGTATAATAATAATAATAATAGTATATTCTCATTTTGTACATGAGGGACGCCAGTTTACAGGCATCATCAGTCTGATAAATTACATATACGATTAGCAATCATACTTAATAATAATGTTTTAATAAAATACACATTTTTTCCTAACTGTGTAGGACACATCAAATGTACAGGCATGGATAAGCATTATTTAAATTTCATAAATTTGGTTGATCGTTAAATTACATGGTTGCTGACGTTTCTGTCTTTGGTTTGTGGGAACAAAATGATAACCAGTCATTCAATGGAGCACATCATGAAATATAGGAATATTGACTTCGCATTAACAAAAAAACCCAATTAAGTTTTAAGTAAGTTGTGGAATGTCCGGATACAAACAAGAATAACCAACCACTACATAAAATGGAAACCACTCAATTATTTAACACAAACTGTCAGCCAAGTCTCATAAACCGTTAATGCCCAGCTCTCGCTACGCTCGGGCCCACGCTGTTCTTAGAAGATTTCTCAGAAACGCTTAGTTATAACGGACGCAAAAACCAAAACACCGATCTGCCGTTTGATATTTCTGTATTGTTACACCAACATATAAAAGGAATAAGCGAACTAAGCAAACTAAGGTCTGAAAACAAATATTACAATAATAAATCTCTGTATTACTTCTGACGATGTTTCAATCTTCTTTCTGAACAGCGACCGATGAGACGATGACTGTCGTATTGATGCCTCCGCGAAAATTGGGGAAGTTGATTTTAAGCAAACAACCAAGAATTGATCGTTCAATCTTCAACTCCATTGACACTCCCCGGCAAAAAAGGGATCCAACCCTTTTTTCCTTCACGACCAATGCACGTTGACTTGGATGCCATTGCGAGAACCTGGGTCACACGGACAGAGCTGAAATGGAAAACAAACAGAAAAGCCAACACACCACAAGCATACCCACAGCACAATCTCACACATCAATGACGACCTGCGCCTCCAGACAGAGACCTCCTCTTGACATCTTGCAACACAATCGCCACTTGCTAGAATGACTCTTGCAGAATGCAAAGTGACCATGGCACCACCTCACGATACTCTACGCACATCCTCTTACCTACTCACTACCAATTACCACTGAAATCGCTTGTCACTCATTCTGCCTCAGTTCTAGTAGCGGTGACGCATGCGAGCCTCAGTCGTTTACACTCTTTCTCCCCGGCGTGTCGGACCGCAGCTAACAATTATCTCCGTGTGCATTTCATTCTCAGCAATAGCCTAGCCTCCCCGGCGTATACGACCCATCTGCTGTCCTTAACATCAATCAATTCATTCATGGATGTAGAAGACTGGAAACAACTTCAGAAGTAATCACGACGAAAATTTTAACAAAATTATGCAATAAAAACAAGATACGAAAACAACGAGTAAACACAATGAATCCAAATAACACCAATTGATATGACACACCACACGTATATACAAACAGTACACACAAACTCGCATCATGTCTTGATGGAATTCCTTTGAAGAATTGCAGGACTTACACCAGTACGCCTACAACCCTTCACAGGTTGACGATTGTAAGTTGTGGAATGTCCGGACACAAACAAGATTAACCAACAATTACATCAATTGGAACTCACACAACTATTTAACACAAACA